ATATTGGTATGTTACCTGACATCCAATTTGTCTTCATGATATTACAGTGTGCTAAAGACACTAGACTGTAAGCTCTTCTAGGACAGGGACTAATGTGAATGACTATACGCATCAAAGCAGTGTAGAATATGAAGGGGAAAATAATAAGAACTCATCTCCAGTTACACTTTGTTCACTGCACTAAGATGTACTGTAAGTTAATGTAACATACTGTTGAAAGACACAATATATCCAACAACAAGAAACCCTCATATGACAATCCATTCTGAAAATGGTATGTTCTGTTTCATTTGATTCCAAAGCGCTTCATGTCTGTGACCTTTTGTATTTCAAGGACACTGGCATTTAGCTCTCATGCCATGTACATCCCCTTCAGTAGCACCAAGCAATGACATTCAATAACGTTTTCACTTATTTCCCTGGATACCCTAATACCTTCCTGCGGTAGAAAAGTCTTTTGAGCAGCTCTCTGTCTTTTTTGTATCTGCAGCAAGATAAAATCCCTGCTGGAATTAGCCACCGCTGCTAAAATGCAGGTGCACTCGCTAAATGTTTTAGTGGCTTTGTGCTCCCGCCTTGAACCCTTTCTCTAAAAGCAACACGTAAAAAAGAAATATGAGAGCAGTTATACCTACCAGAGCAATTAAATGTGCTTGACTCCTCTCCCTAATATGACTATCAACTGTTAGCTAATTCATTTAATTGGTTAATCCAGGCTTTGCTGTTTTCTGCATTAAACATTGGCTTACATTGGACTCTGTTAAGATATGTTTATTTTTCTGAAATAGGACAAAGGTATCTCTAGAAAGTGGAGCATTTGGCAAAACAAAATGCATTGAAAATTAAATTCCTAGCCTGGATTCACAGGTCAGGTCACCTAAAATGCAGCATACAAGATTTTTTCACAATGCAAATTAGCACATTTAAAAATGCAGGAGAAAGAGTGATGTGTGAACTCTGTGGTTGTCACCAGTGGCGGACAAAGTTATTAAAGGGCCTGCTCAAGACCAAATTATGGGACCCCCATGCATCTACTAGCCAGGCAAAAACACATATTCACTGTGTATCTCTGGACAACTATATAGAAGTGAGCTATGTCCTGTATGTGACAGTAGGTTAAGTCCCAGCACCCATCTGATCTACATCTAATATAAATAGGCACCTAAGTTCCACAGGCCCCTTGTGCAGCTCCATAATCTACATTTTGGGGGTTGATTTACTAAAAGCAAATAGGCTGTTCACTTTGCAAGAGAATTTGCACTTTACAGGGAAAGTTCCCATTAGCTCGGTGAAGTGAGGTGAAGCTCTACTGACTTCCATCATTCAAACATGTGCAAGCAAAAATACTGTTTGTTTTTTTCATTGCATGTGACTGGGTAATGTATCCATTGGTGACATCTGTTCTACTGCTGAGAGATTTCCTCTTATTTCCTGTTGTGTCTCTGGGACAGGAAATTAGGGTAAATCTCCCGAATGCAACAGATAGCAAAAACATTCCCTACTGTATCCACAGCTTGTAAACATTCTGAGTAGTGGTACACTTTAAGACCTACCTCTAACTTTTTTATGTGAACACCTTAACACTGCACACCATCCCAGCATAGCAATAGGTTTTCTTGTTTTCTGCAGAGCAATATGGCAGGCACTAATATAAATACATTCTCAGTCATCAGTACCTGGCCAATCAGGTAGCCAAAAACTCAAAACCCGAAAGGGAGGAGTGCAGCGCTGGAGAGGATTACTTTGGTAGGTAAGTCTGCCATAATGTGCTGATATGCTGTGTACTGGCACATTATGGCTAAAGGCTCCAGTGGACTTCTTTTTTCCATCTCATTTTGATTCTGCTTTATGGAGACCCTGTCACCCGATCATCCATGCCAACCAGAATCTTTTCATAGATGATATTTGCATTTAACTTATTTTGTGCATGTTATTTACTTGTAAAAGCTTTTTCTAGCGTAGACGTTCAAAAGTCCAGAGACTGTGCGCCAGATCTTGGATACAAGGTCAGCAGCCCCAGCAGATTCAGAGCTGTCACTCAAGTAATATTCTGTAATATTCTCCTTCAATCCTCACCCCACCGGCAGCTACATAAAAGATTATATAAGGCAGGTAAAGGGAGGGATGAAGGAGCTGGGCCAGCACATAGAGTAGTTAGACACTACCAGAAGATTATATGGCTATGGTGTGCAAAGGAGGGGATTATGCTATGGATATTGGCTCTCCTGGAGTAGTGACATTTTATACCTTCAAGGGCACATTGCAAGTGAAAAAATCATAATTTATGAAAAGGAAAAATCACTGAAACTTAGAATTTAAAGAACAACTCCAGGATTTAAAAAAAACAAAACCCTTGCAGTGGGGCTACCCCCGCACTGCAAGGCGCGCTGCAAGGATCAACTGCTCGTTAACTGCCGATCCTCGGCAATGACTGCTCACCTCTCTGCCCTGGCTGTTGTATGTCCCTCGGCGTCCTCATGTTTAATGGACCTACATCAGACATGATCACGTCACAGGTCCTTCGACTGCCGGAGCCCAGGGAAAAGAGGCTGCAGTAACTAGCCTAGCAGTCAGACAGGACTGAAGATTGGGTGAGTATTTTTTCTTCATTTTTACTCCCTAGACAAAATGAGCACTTAACCTTGCAGTGCATAGGTAGCCTGGCTACAAGGGTTCATTTGTACAAATCCGGAATTTCTGCTTTAAAATATGTGAATTTTGTGAGCTCTTACCTGCATTTTTTTAAGTTTCAGACACATTCTCTTTAAAGGTTCAGTACAGTGGCCCAAATGGGAACCTCTGTCCACATTTCAGCAATCATCACTGTATATCTCTGCGTGGAGTCACACAGCCTTTTTTATGAAGCAGTCTCCACCATGCCCTCTTCATTCAGCACAAGTGCGCCTTTGCCCCATTCATTTCTATGGGGAGCTGTTCTAATGAGGGCCTCCAGAAGTTCTGTGGAGTACAGTTATCCACATAGTAATGAATGGGGCTGTGGTGTGCAAGTGCTGGATGGAAAACAGGCTGTGAGGCTCTGGGGAAGGCTGCAGAGTGAAGATGGCTGGAACGGGAACAGCACTAAGTATTACAAATTGTGGGCTGAATTTAGAGGAACTGGGGGCATGCCCTAAAGTAGTATTAAACTCATAAACGTTTTTTCAATAATGAATCCAGCTGAAAGAAATATACATTGGCCATGCAAAGTATCTCTTTACATTTTTGCCCTAGATCTTACAGTCATCATGTTTCAAAATAGCTGGCTCGAACTCTCTCAGTAGCTCTTCCTTGAACTTTCTGTCCAGTACAAGGGACAGTACAGTCTCCAGTAGCTATCCATCTACTAGCTTGAGGAAGTAAGGAGGGAGGAGTGGGAAGCTGAGGAGTGGCTTACCCTGCTGTCCCTGTTTACTTTTGGGGACACACAGAGCTTACTAGAACACACAAGGGTGACCCCACAGGACCCTGCAAGGTAAAGGAGCCATCCTAATAAGACTGGCTTATTCTGCAGGAAACTAAAACTTTTAAACACACGGAGCAGCATCCATTGTAGTAATTTCATCAGCATTTGCGATTTTGAGCATAAAAACATTTAAAGGAGAACTATGGGGTTAAGGCTTTTCCCTCCCGTCACCCTCCTTTCCTTCCCTCCCGTCACCCTAAGCTCAGTATACTGCGAGCTACAGCTCGTGGTATACTGAGACGCCACAGTATACCGCGTGCTACTGCTCGCGGTACACTGAGACGCTGCAGCTGAAGCGGATCCCGACAATTATGTCTGGATCCGCCCAGCTGCGTGAGTGACAGCTGGCTCTCCCTATCTAGAGGCAGAGCCAGCTGTACCCCCCCCCTCCCCCGTCCAATCCGCCAGTCAGCGCTGGTGGATCGGAGCGGGGAGGGGGGAATCCAGCCCCTCCCCTGTCACGTCAGAGAGCCGTGACAGGATCAAGAGGTGAGCGAACGCCGGTATGTGTTCGCTCACTTCTCGATCTACTGAGCCGACCTGTGACCTGAGCCTACCTGTGACAGGTCGGCTAGAACTATGAGGTGAGTGAAAAGCACTCACCTCATAGTTCTCCTTTAACTTTAATATAACTTTAAAGGACAACTTGTAACAAAGTACAATTTGGTTCAGAAATACTTGTCTCTTTTCTCTCTCAGTTAGTGACAGACTCCAGTTTCATGTAGACTTCCTCTTTCAGTCCAAGGTCAAATGGGGTCAAGTGTTATTACTTTCCAATGTTAAACCAAACATCATGCTACCATTGATTCCTCAGATCCTCATGAGGATGTAATATGATGTCCTTTTCTGTTCTCTCCTTGTCTATCAGTGTGCTTTTGTTGCCCTGTTTATGAGCCTGTATTTGTAGCTTCCGTATCTTACGATGTCTAGCAGTTCCATTAATCTTAAAGAACTTTAACTTATGGATGCAAAATTCCCAACAATAATGAAATAAAAAAACAGAATATCAAATAGTGTGTAATAATTATTTTTATTGTTAGACCCTAAAATAAAACTGTCAGAATCGCAGCCATTTCAAACTGAGCATTTGTTGACAAAATACATGAAGCAAAGATTACTTTTAGTGAAAACTATGGGTTTGATTTTTTAAAGGCTGTTCACTTTGCAGTGGAATTTTCTGTTGAAAATCAGAAGCGCTTCACTACATTGGCTAAGGTAAAAGAAATGTTCATTGCAAAGTGAACAGCCTATTTGTATTTAGTGAATCAACCTCATGCGTCAAAACGATCAGTAGATCTAAAGATAAAGGCAGCTGGAGCTATGTGCAAATATTGACTTTTCTTGTAAAAGTCAAATTCTCCCTAATCACTTCTCTGAACCTCCCTCAAAGTCAAGATGTGAATATAAATTCAGCTACCTATATGTTTGGATCTACTGATCGTTTTGCCATGCAGTAAAGGTAACCTCTGCTTACTTTTATTAATATGACCATTTTCTAGTAGTATTCATTGTTTAATTGCATGTTTTGTTTTTGTAGCCCACATCTCAAGTTCAACAATATCACTCTAATTTCAACACATGGTCTTCCTGGGAACAACCCCCCTACTACATGTATGGACAAAGCATTCTTATCCAGCAGGTAAGTGTTAAAAAAAACAGACTAAGGACTCATTTCATATTAGACATAGAGAAATGTCTGTGCTCAAATCCATATATAAATTAGGCTATTCTTGATGAACCGGCAAAAATTTGCTGCGTGGGTGCCGCTGTGCCTAGATCAGCTGATCGAAGGAACAGGTCGGAATATTCTTGGCCAAACGGAGCTAGTAGCCAGTCAGCTGCGAACTCCATTCTGGTATCATAACACGGCCGGCAGCCACTGTCATAATACTATAGAGACAGCAGGGGATTCAGCATTCAACATTCGTAAGCATTGATGCAGGAATCAGTGTATACCCAGTTTAAAGGACAAACTGATCTTAAAGCAATCACAACCAATGTCAAAATATAACATACACTAGCCCTTAAAATGCTTTAGAAAGACCTATTAGGATTATGCCAGACTAACTTTTTTTCTGCTGCCTTTTGCGTTTAATAATCAGTGGCAAAATGTTACTGGTAAAAGGGACTTCTGTTTCTGTGAAAGCCATCAGAAATCAGTAGCAATACAAACAATTTCTGCACTTCTTGCTATTTGAGGTATTGGCTGTTTTATTCCATGGCTGTCAGTTATTCCACACAGAGCAGAATTAGGAACAATCTCCTCCTATACGTTTTTGGAACGCTGAGTGAAGACAACAGGCTTAAACCACTAGAGAGCCTCCGCCATATCAGCAGATGTCTAATTAATGCCTGCTGTCAGCTGCTAAAATGTCATTTACGGCTTTTCTCTCTTCCCAGCCACTGTTATAATGATAAAGATTACGCACTGATGTCACTTCGATCCTGGGTTAATGTTGTGGTTGGTAAAATGACTGGCATAGACAGAGCTGCCAAGTTTGTGATTGTTTCCAACGACAGAAAAGTGCCTTATGACCATCTCATTCTTTGTACTGGGCAACAATACCAGGTAAGACACAGCTTTCACTTGTGGGACTGTGTGCCATTCACTGTGTTTTGAAATTTGGCCCTTACACACAAGCAGTATTGTAGCCAGAAAAAGCTTTTCATTTTTAATTCTGAGCTTGACTTCAAACTTTGCTGTTTGACAGTTACTGCTCCATAATCACTATTTTGAAGCAAGCTCACAACAGTAAGCATTGAATATGGGAATAGGGACGTACAATGAGTTCGCAGACAGTGAGAAACATTGTATAATTATAGTGTTCAATGCATGGTATCATATTTTTTATTATTTTATTAAATGTATGTTCATCTTGTATTCAAATAACAACTCTTGTTAACAAGTTAACTTAATCAGTGAGCTGCAAAAGCTATAATTAAAACAGTGGGGTCTATGCTCAAAGCTGCTGAAGGATCCAGCCGTAGCTTCGGCTGATCCTTCGGCTAGCTTCGGTTACAGGGGCCTTCGGTTCGGTAGAACCGAAGGGCTGCTGTACGGGCTATTCACTATAGCCCGTACAGCTCCCGAAGTTGGCCGAGCGACTTGGTCGAGCCAAAGGCATATGCTTCGGCTCGACTGAGCCGAGATGGAAGCCAAAGCGGGCCGAACGGTCGGCTATTGGCCGGCCGAAAGCCTGCTACTGACAGCTAGGCGCAGCCAGCTGTCATCTCACGGCTGGCTCTGGCCACTTGCAATGACAGATCAGCATCCCCTGGTTACCAGGTAACCAGGGAACGCTGATCTGTCATTAAAATGAGAGTTCTCAGTGTATAATGACAGTTCAGCGTCCCCTGGTTACCTAGTAATCAGACTGACATGAGAGCTCAGCGGGGCCGGCCTTGATATCACTGTACAGCTTATAGTATATCAGATTGCCATGGTAAACTTGTATATTGTTTTTCTCCAAAGGGATTCGGTTTTTGTTCAGGATCTTATAGAAATATCATATAACCTATACATTATAATAGAAAATATGTTAATTAAAACATGAAATTGTAGAAGTACAGTATATATGCCCATTTTATTTTGAGGTGATAAGACATTGAATGCAATTTTTTAAAAATATAAATCGAGGGGAAGAGCTTTTGGTTCGGGTGGTCTGCTAGCTTAGAAATAATCAATAAGGGGGTTATACTTATGTGCTACTTCCCTCTTTATAAAACTCACAGGGTTATTCACTCAGCTGCCAAAGGCAGCCGAGTGAATAACTGAGCCGAAGTGAAGTGAGCCGAACGCTGTTGGGCTATTCACTTCTGTCTTGTACTGCTGATTTCAGCCGTACATGGGCTGAAATCAGACGTACATCGGCACTGTACGGCTGCCTTCGGCTGAGCCGAAGTGCAGAAGGACTTCGGCTGAGCAATGTATATTCGATTTACCTCTTTTCTTTATTGAAAATAATTTGAGAGTTTAATAATACTTCAAGTAAAAATGTAGGATGGGAACACAGCAATGTTATGCAAGTCAACAATAAGCCAGAGTCCTCTAAAAAGCACAAAAAAGGCCAGTGTAGCTTTTTCCGCATTGCCTCTGGATAAAAAAGTGGAATTTATCTCATGTTCGCCATTGTCAGCAAAGTAAGGAATCCATCTCTCTAACTGTAAACCAGACTCAATACTTTTTAGGAGGCAAAATCAGGTGCTTTTTACATATTGACCTTGAGGATTCTTATCTGTAAACAATAACATTACTCTGTGGGCTTAATAATATTTTAATGACATCATCCATTGAACTACTTTCAATGTTCAAGAGCCTGAGTGCCAGTTTAATACAATATGTTCTTGGTTCTGGTCTATTTACTTTTAAAATACTCTTGTATTCCAAAATGTATTTTTGTTTACTCTTCCATTTAAAGTGTAAGGGTTAGTTCACACCAGAAACTGCATCACATTTGCGTGCGTCTGCGCAGTTGCACTGCAATGTGTTTTGATGCGTTTGCAATGCGTTTTTTTTAACTGCTCTAAAAAAAGCTAATTAGACATGTAGGTCACTTCCTTTTCCTGTCATAGCATTTCCTATGTTTGTTTTGTTCGTTTGGGAGCTCAGTCATGCTTTCTTTATTTGCTGGCATGGTGCTAGTTTTGACTTTAGCCATTCTTTTTTTTTTATGGGTTCTGTTGCGTTTGCAATGCGTTTGCTCCGCGTTTGATGTGTTTTGATGCAGTTAAAGTAGGACAAGCAGTACTTTTTCTGACTGCAGTTGAATCGACTGCAATGGTATGAATTAGGCACAAGAAAGCCCATAGGAAAGCATTGGGATGTATTTTAACTGCACACTTGAAATAAACGGACTGCATCACAATTGCATCACAACTGCATATGGTGGGAACAGGCCCTAAGTTAGGAGGTGCATTGGTATTATTAAACATGTACTTGAAGCCTATTTAGGAGACGGCTTTTTTGCACTTGCAGCTCCATTTTTATCAAATAAATGTCCTTAATTTCCCTGTTTTTCCCTCTTGCACTAGTGCAGTTGTGGTCAACGTACGTCAACGTATGAATATAGGGGCCTCCTCCCCCCACATGACCAAAGGGCCTCACAATAGCTTTGTTTTATCAATTCGCTATTTTTACAGTATATTACATCACAGCACATCCATAAAAAATTCTATGCAAACTGTAAGTGTAACAGTAAAAAGTGCTCCTTTTGCATGTCATTCTTACAGGCTGTATGTTAGACATGTGCGATTTGTTGTGTTCCGAATCGAAATTCGGACGAAATTTCGGAAATTCCGACATTCGGATGTATCCGAATTCCGAATTACAGATATAAAAAATGCAAACGAATCCAGATTTCCGATTCTGAAATTTGTTAGCGCTAGTCTGGACAAAATTTCATTTGCTGGACGAAATTTAGTTGCAGCAAAATTACATTAGAATTTGTTTTTGTTTTTTTAGTCTGCAGAACAGGAAAAAAAGCGTGAGGTTCCCCCCCAGACCCTTTCGGTCTGGTAGGAATATTAGGAGGGACCCCTCCCCTCAAGTTGAAACAAAAAAAAGTGTGTGGGGTTCCCCCAAAATCCCTACCAGGCCCTTTAGGTTCTGGTAGGGATTTTAAGGGGGAACCCCAGCCCGAAAAAATGGGGAAAAAACGTGGGGTCCCCCCTCGACATTCCATGATCGAGCACCCCCCTTCCTGCGGAAAAAACACAAACAGGGGGCGCCTTTCCTGGTGCAGACAAATTTATTAAGATCAGGATCAAAGGTAGATAAAAAACATACTCACAAAATTCAGCATGATACAGATGACTGTGTGATGACGCGTTTCCGGGGTCACGCCCCCTTCATCAGCTCTGATGAAAGGGGCGTGTTCTGGCGGAGTAGTCCTTTTTGGCGCTTTTTTGTGTTCATATCTACCCCCCTTCCTGCGCCTTTCCAGGCCACGTGCCCTCGGCAATGGGAGGGTGTCCTCATGCCGACGGGGGCAAGGGCCTCTTCCCCACAACCCTGACCCGGTGGTTGTGGGGGTCTGCGGGCAAGGGGGCTTATTTGCATCAAGGTACCCTTTTAATTAAGGGGGTACCCAGATGCCGCCCCCCTTGTAAATGAGTAAGGGGTACTTTTACCCCTTCCCATTCACTAAAGGGTTAAATAAAATACAGTAATTAGTTATTATACAGTTAGTAGTTATTAAAAAGTCCAGACTTTTGATAAAATCCTTTAATTGAAAAACAAAAAACAAAGAGCCAATTTATGACTATTCCTTTAATTAATGTAAAAAAAAATGGCTCCATCAATGTAATCCTGCGTCAATCACGATGCCCGCCGACACGCCGCAATAAAAAAAGTCCCAGCGCACGACGACCGTCCGAACCGGACGAAAACTCGCCGCAAAATTACATTCCTGCTCAAAAGTAGACAGATGGGCGGAGCGAGCCGTGACGTCACGGCTCGCTCTGCCCATTTGACATTCTCAGCTGTCAAATACTACATAGCATTCGGGAACTCCCGAATGCCATTCAGGTCTGGAAATTCCAGAATGCTATGTAGTATTTAACTGCTGTGAATGTGTTTCTGTTTGCTTTTGAGCAGGAATGTCATTTTGTGGCGAGTTTTCGTCAGGTTGCCATTCATTTTTTTATGGCACCCCAGCACATTGTGACAAAAGCTGGTCCAGGTGCGTTAGGATGTATTAGTGCATAATAAAAACCCCAGTGGTGAATAAATACCACCAAAAGAAAGCTCTATCTGTCCCCAAAAAAGGGTATAAAATGAATTTCAGTACAGCGCTGCATGACGGAATAAATGTCAGTCAAAGTACCGCAGCGCTGAATACAGCTTATATCTTTCATTTTCAAATCTTAACTGAACAAACTAAAGAGAGATGCTGATTGGTTGCCACTGCTCCAGATTTTGTCTGCTCCAGTTTTGATAAATTCCCCCCACAGTTTAAATGGACCCACTAAATACGATCAAATCGGGTTTAAACAGACAGAAATTAGCACGCTGGTGACAAGGTTAGCGATTGTTGAAATTCCACACACCCTATCCCCACCTTAGTCGATCTATCACTAAACCCTGCATAGGGTGAAACGCATTACAGGGGTGGACCAAAGGCAGGACTGAGCCAAGCCGTGCAAATCTGAATAAAGGAGTTTTTCAGCGCGATAATTGCTGTGCGGCTGGATTATTTTTACTGTTGAGCTGTGTACATTAGAGCGTGGACCCATTTTTCTTTCCTGCTATGAGGTCGTGAAGGAGCGGTGTTGTAACATATTGAATCTGTCTGTTATAATTCCAAGTGACATGGAGCTCGCGCAAATGTCATTTAGTACATTGGACATAATTCTTGACCTTAGGATTATTGGGGAGAGGGTTTGTTTGCATTAATGTATTACATTTTATCAATATTATTTTTTATTTTACATTTATTTTCCTAATTGGGGAGGGGGATGTGGATATGGTCAGTGGAGACCTGATCCAACCACCACATGCAGCTTTGCAGCAGCAGTTAGTGATCTATTGATAGCTGCAATAAATCAAGCACAGGGGAGGGGGGCTTGTTGGGTAACACAATGCCAGTGAGCTGTTTTTAAAAATTCTGTAGCACTGCTAAGCAGGAAGTAAAACGTATGTGTAACAAACGTTGGTGGCTCAACTGTGTTATTATGTTAGGTATTTATATACCGCCAGGAATTTGCGCAGTGCTATACACGTTGTACATTTACATCAGTCCCTACCCTCAAGAAGCTTACAATCTTAGGTCCCTGTCTTACAAGCATACGTAATAGGGACACCTTAGACAAGAACTGATTAACCTAATGGCATGCTTTTTGGAGTGTGGGAGGAAACCAGAGTACCCGGAGGAAACCCACACAAACACAGGGAGAACATGCAAATTCCGTGCAGGTAGTGTCCTGGCAGGAATTTAAACCAAGGACTCCAGTGCTGCAAGGCAGACGTGCTAACCAACAAGCCATTGATATCAGTGTTGACATCGAAACAACGTGCAGGTCAGATGCTGAAGCAATACAATGAGCAAAGTCTGCAGGCAAGTTGTCTGATCAGACAGCAGAGACCATCATAGTCAAGGCAGAGGGTACTTACAACCCATACAAAACAGAGCTCCAGTACAGGTCAAATCTTAGGAGTGATCCTGGGTAATGCAGATGGACATAACTGAAACATAGACCTGTTGAGAGGGCACAGAATGAATGTCCAACCTTGCGTATTTCTCTTTAAGTCTGCATGTGCAGTATGTCCTCCCTTGCCTATTTCTCTTTAAGTCTGCATGTGCAGTATGTCCACCCTTGCCTATTTCTCTTTAAGTCTGCATGTGCAGTATGTCCACCCTTGCCTATTTCTCTTTAAGTCTGCATGTGCAGTATGTCCACCCTTGCCTATTTCTCTTTAAGTCTGCATGTGCAGTATGTCCACCCTTGCCTATTTCTCTTTAAGTCTGCATGTGCAGTATGTCCACCCTTGCCTATTTCTCTTTAAGTCTGCATGTGCAGTATGTCCACCCTTGCCTATTTCTCTTTAAGTCTGCATGTGCAGTATGTCCACCCTTGCCTATTTCTCTTTAAGTCTGCATGTGCAGTATGTCCACCCTTGCCTATTTCTCTTTAAGTCTGCATGTGCAGTATGTCCACCCTTGCCTATTTCTCTTTAAGTCTGCATGTGCAGTATGTCCACCCTTGCCTATTTCTCTTTAAGTCTGCATGTGCAGTATGTCCACCCTTGCCTATTTCTCTTTAAGTCTGCATGTGCAGTATGTCCACCCTTGCCTATTTCTCTTTAAGTCTGCATGTGCAGTATGTCCTCCCTTGCCTATTTCTCTTTAAGACTGCATGTGCAGTATGTCCTCCTTGCTTATTTCTCTTTAAAACTGCATGTGCAGTATGTCCACCCTTGCCTATTTATTTTTAAGACTGCATGTGCAGTATTTCCTGCCTTGCTTATTTCTCTTTAAGTCTGCATGTGCAGTAGGTCCTCCCTTGCTTGTTTGATCTCTGCTAAGTGAGGGATGGAGAGGTGACATTTAGATTTTGGACTAGCTAATGAAATACAACCCAACATTCAGAGGAGAAAAACACCATTATTAAACATGCCGTATGCGCTATGACTGAATAATATTACTGATATATCTTGTGTGACAGTGCAGATTGAATAAACATTGATATGGTTTGCTAGCAACCGAAGTTGCTTAAACAGTGTTTTTGATAGCACGTATCATGCTTATTGACCCATTATGGTTGTTTACAGTAAGCTTTTACAGCCTACAGACATCTGGACTTTAGTAGAAGAAAGGAACAGGCATGTTTTTCACATAATGACACAAATAATTGTGAAGCAACATGTACAGCCACAAAGCTATTTGTGTGCTTTAGGGTTGTTTTTTACTGCTGCCTTTGTTATGCTGCCATCAAGCTGACTTAATGCATAACTATGAATGCAAGCGCTGTATCTGCTTGTAACACATTAGATGCCCCAGCCATTGACATCTTGATGAAGTACATGGCTGTACAACAATATGCATTAACGGGAACCTGAGACGAACATAGTCTATAGCAGGGCTTCTTAAACTTTTTCCACTCGTGACCCCTTTTCGCCCAAGGAAATTTTTACGTGACCCTGGGTATTTAGGTATATAAAACAGGTATACAAATCAAACATTTACTTATACTAAATCATAAAGAAATTTAATTTAAAACAGTTCTTTGGTTTACAAATAATTTTACCATTTATTAAAGATGAAAGCAAATTTGCATACTAAGGAGATGGATGTGCTTGTTTATTTTTACATAAAGAAGTAAATCTCTGCAGAATAGTTGATAGTGCAGGACGTAGAGCATCTTCAACGTTTTTCAGAGTTGATCGATATTTTGATTTTATAACCGTCAATGTTGAGAACGACGCTGCACATAAATACGTAGTACAAAACGTAGTACAAAACATACTTAGTATGTTTTGGGCCATTTCAGAAATGGTTGGAAATTCTGTCCTAATCCCAAGCCAAAATTGATTTAACAATTTTTTAGGATTAGGCAGAAATGAAGGCAAAGCTGAAACAAAATGCTAATATTATGGATGACACTGCCATGAGAGTTAATTATAAGATAAAGTAAATGCTATATGATTAATAATTTCGAATACATCTTCAACACATAGTCAAGGCATATTAAAACATCCAGCTCTCCAATACTTAGGTTTCTAATTCACTAACACCAATGGCTAATCCCTTCTCCTGTATTTTTCATTAAGAAATTACTCTATTTAGTCACATTGACGTGGGCCTCAGATGCCCAGGCCTCTTTCTCTTTTTTTATTTCACTGTTGTTCTCGCCTTCTTGCCTCCTTCAGCTCTGCAGGGTTTCCTTGGAGGGCATGACGTCACTGTTGGTCCTGCATGAATAATCTTCCATCGGCAATGTAGTGAGGGGTCGGGGAATATCCCCACTTCTCTCACTAGCAGCCACACCAGAAGATTATTCACGCTGCACCCTCTCGCTTGTTTCTTCCGTCG